AAATTCAAATATATAAGTATAAAATATTGAATCAATAGTGTAGTTGAAAAAGTCTTAGCAGCAGTAGCACACGGCGGTGGAGCAGTGTAGTGAAAATTCAAAGGAAACCATCGATTACTCTATATGTACCTATTCCAAGTATTATAATGTTAATTAAAATCAATCGCCACTTTCGATCCAATAACCAATACCAATAGACCTATAAATGGATTTTTAATAAAATATGATTGATTTAAGAATTTAAATTGCCGGTCAGTAGAGGCATCCAAGTAATAATTATTATTTCGATTAAGACGTTTGATTATTTATTTTAACACGACAAGCTCATCACGCTTCAAATTGAGTAAGGAAGGACCGGGACATTTTGTTACGCACAAATTTTTCGAAAGCATAAAGTATTGTAAAGCGGATCTTTGGAACCGTAATTTATAATATTGTATGTTCACATAAGAGTTTTTCTTTCGACGGTGCATTACTGCAAAAATAGAATCCATACGCTCTGAACGGATAATGCAATTTTCTTTTACCGTTCATAAATTGAATACTATACATAATTACAAAAGACTTTAATAAAACCACCGTCAATATTTTCCCATGTGAATTTTATGTTTCTAAATGCAATTATAAAATGTATTACCAAAAGTTCTTTTTATAACTTAATTTCCAGTGTGAACTAACCTTAATAAACTATGTATATACTCTGCTACATAGTATCTAATACTTTTTATGACACGATTTTATATGCAGTCGATAATAATGAAATGTTCCACTTGTCTATAATCTAAAATAATTCTATACAATTTTTAATAATTTACTTTACTCAGTATTTGATTTTCCATAAACTATTAATGATTATATAGTTTAAGCCTTTTTTTTTTTACATTTTTTTTTTTTTATGCAATATAATGTGTAATATTCAAATATTACACCAAGGATGACAAAATATGAGATTTTATTATTGTAATTTTATTACACCCATTAATTCGTAAACAAATTATCCAGTTTTAAGAGCTTTTTGAACTATTAAAATTATTAAAAATTCATAATAGGAAGGACAATTATATATATATATATATATAAAACAGGTCTATAATATGTGTAAGAGATATAAAAAACGTTCTAAATTCATTAATTTGAGTTATAATATCGACTGTTGTGAAATTCATTTATTTGATATTTTAACCATAAAAAATCTATAGATTGTTAAATGAATTTAATGACTTGAATAAACGAAAATAATTGAACATGAAAAAAATACACAACCCGACCCTCATAACATTATCAGATTACATGGTTAAACTGGTATTTTATACCAGTTAATTAATTCTTAACTCTAATGTTTCTTCTTTATATTTAATATATATATATATATATATTATACAGTATTTAGAATTATGATCTCATACTATTAACAATTGAGGTAAAATTATTATATAGGTAAAAAGAAAAACATCAGTTGGAATGCACAATCTAGTTATGGAAGTAGTTACTAAAATAGTTTACACTTTTATTCGTAATACATATATTTGCTTATAATTCTATTTTTGTGTCACGTATATATGATTGGAAAGTATTCGACACATAATACTGCAATAAATATAATATAGTTGGTAGTATTTCATTTGGAGGTAGGGGATTTTATGACATTTCGGACACGGTCTGTTTCCTGTTAGATACCACGGTTGAATTTGGAATAACGCAAAAACTATGATAACTGTTGTGGTTTATTATTTATTGTCATAAGATACTTCTGTTTAAAAATAAAAAACCATTTTGAGTGTATACTTGTCAGGATAAAATTATAGTTGACACCTGATCTGAAATGAGTGCTACATTCAAAAAGTGATTACATATATACATACGGACTGTCGAAAAATGGTAATCTCAAAAATAGCAGCTGAGGATCCTAATTGCTGGAAAATGTTGCCCTGAAAATCCGTTTCCATTAAAATGGTGATAAATTTTCGGTGCTGGCATTTAATTTATTCTACCCGTGTTTCTGCGTTCTGCACACGTTTTTTCTTCTACAAATGTTTTCACTTCCTTCCTCTCTCTCTCTCTCATTACCCATCTTTTCATTCATCTCTCACCGTATATCGCGTGTCCTCGCCCTTACGGATAACACCGCTCATCTACAGTAGGAATCTTTATTACTGGATTTCATAATAAATACCACCAAGCTCACGTAAAACAAACATCATTGTTGAACTTGTTCATTCTATTTAAGATTTATTATTTTTCATCTTGCCACCCTACCACCGAAAAAAATATAATTCATTCGTTATAATAATAATAATAATAATAGTAATCGAACAGTAATTATTGCAACCTGTGAATGAGTGTTGTGAATAGAGAAAGTGTTTTCGCCAAAGCCTCATATTATAATAAGTCATCGTGACCGTATGAAAAACAATATAAACTATCTTTTGCATGTAGATATATATATGCATTACATAAACTGCATTAATATCATTAACTATACATATTTTTTTTTTTTTATCATTAAACATCATAATGGTTATTTTCCCCAAAACAATTTCCATAAACTGTTAAACATTGTAAACACATTTAGTTTTTACGTAAATTTCTCGCGGAATCGTACCTACTTATTTATTTAGGTTATGCGTATGTGAGACTAAAGTGATTTCCGTTGTTATTTCGTAATTCAGTTGGTGTTTTGCAGATTAACGATATTAGTATAATATAAATACAGAAAATAAAAAGAGATGGTTGTTTAATAGGTAAACAAAAAAAGAAGAGTAATATATAATGGTATATGCTGTAGAGGATCTTTTCTTTAAATAAAAAAATAATAATAATAATACATAAGTATATAGGTAACTGTTTTATATTATCTATACAATAAATATTATAAAGCTGAAGAGTTTGGTTGAATATCCTAATCAGGTTTGAATTAAAAAACTATTTTAGTGTTCGCTAGCCCATTTATCGATGAAGATTATAGACTATATATAATTTTTATAAAGTTCACAGTCGAAGTTTAAGAAATGAAATTGTAAGAAATTTATGATTTTGCTATTTAAGAAGTCGTAAAATTACTGAAATTACGTATTGAAAATTCTAAGATGCACTGGCACTTCAATAGGACTTTCGTCGAATGTCTCGAGTTCTTCGATTTTTACTAGCTGTGGAGCTAGGGAAACTGTGTTCTGTAAAACTTGGTTCCTAGAATACCAATAATACCAACCATTTACCATTCAAAGCTTAAACGGCTATAATTCCCCGTAAAACTATACTTTTCAATGACCATCAATAAGGTACATGTTCAAACATTAAATTTTGCAGATTTAGAAGTAATCGCCCAATGTTTTTACCATTATCAAATGTATGTGTCTGTTATGTAATATATGCAAGAAAAAATCTATTTTTGTTGGCTCAAATGGTGAGATACTTAAAGTTGTGTATCCAAAATAAATGAATGCTTAAGGCAAAATGAAATTTAAAATTTAAAAATGTTTAATAATAAAACCAATACATTCCACACTTCGCTCTGAGTTTATCTGTTCAATACTGTGCACAGGCAAAGCTGTGCGGGACAACTTTTCATTAATAATTTACAACAAAATACTTAACTCAAAACATATTGTTTATTTATTAAACATTTTTTTGTTGTGTTACACAATTAAACAATTAAAATCATAGAACTCGTTAATGATGAAAAAAATAATATTGGAAAATAAATTATTTGTGTTATTCTTATCTTATCTTATCGTTTACCTGTTTTTCCTAATCTTCACCTATTGTCATGCATCGCTATTGCTGCAACTTGTACATTATAAGCTGCGTTAGTTTCCTTATTGAGTTTTAGTCATCATAAATGCTATCTCTGGTTTTATTTACAAACTTATTAAATAGACAATTGTTCACCTTAATATTTTTAACGTGTTGTTAATCATTCGATGGACCTATGTACGAGACACTAATAAAATTTAAAAATAATTGAAACAATAATATTATACCAATAGGGCAAAAACTAATTTATTCTTGTGTTATTACTGTTTTAACACAATGATATATAAATAATATCACGATTGAATATCCAGTACGTTGTTAAAACAAAATGTTCGTAGAGTAATTCATTCTCGTGCTGAGTATAATTTATTATTTGCCCATTCGTGTTTTCATGCGGTGGTCCGTTTCCATGAACATAATAATAATATAACGCCGAAGCGGCGATTGAAATATGATGGTAAAATGAAAATTATGCAATATCATATTTGTAAACGCGGTCGTGATAATCTAGACATCTTTTGAATAGCCCGTGTTTGTTAATTTATTGAACATTCAATACGTCTTCTTCTCAACTAACCTACTGTACTATGAGACATTTAGAATGATAGTAGTAGGGTAATTTCGCAAATGAATTTATCATCTAGACCTGACAACTAGCTCGTGAGATTTTATGAATAATCCTACAATATCGGATTTTCCTCGAAAATAACACGAATATTATCCCTTACGAACAAAAAAGTATGTACAATTTTTAAAGGAAGTGTAATATTTTCCCCTAAAATGTGGAATTAATGTATTTCTCAAAAATACTCGTAATTTAAATTTTAAATTTGTAACATTCTACGACTTAAAATTATGAAAAGGTGCGATGGTTATATCTTAATAATACACTGAATCAGTGTTTATTTCAGACCTTCTATCCCGAGGGCTTTCTTACATTTCCGGGGGGATTTGTGGTATGCGGTGTGTCATAAGAATAAATAATTAATAAATAAATATATTTTTTTGGAAGGGTTTCTACCCAACCCCGACTACCCCTTAAAATAAACTGCATTGCGCTGAATTGGTTATATTTTTTTTTAAATGCACGATATTATCTTATTTATAATTTTTACTCTGTGTACTATTTGCATATTACGTGACTTATATTGCTATTTATGTATTTTATGTAATTTGATATTTGCTTGTTATACTTTGATTTTATTATTATTTTGTAGTTAGTTATTTTGCTTTTTTTTTTATGGCAGTTCTCGGAGAAATTCAGATTTTAGTACCGGCAATGAACGCATTCCATACAAAAGGTACTATTTTACATACATATTTTCAATATTTATGATAATAAACTATTATTATAATAATTGTATACAGAATTATATCACTTCGTGGTAATAATTAATGGTATTTTTAATTTTCAGAGGGAAGAGTCGTAGCGTCGACCATGGGCTTTCTTCGCCATTCGACTTAGATTCTTTGCGGAGTAAAGTTGAGGGCAGATTTGAGAGTGTTGACAAACTTAATAGAGGTGAGTTTTTAAAACAATTTTTTTTATTCCACTTGAGTACTGGATTTATCCTAAATTAAATTAAAATACCTTTGTAAACATTAAATTAAGGAATATATAATTTAATTGTCAATACATTTCCGAGCATGGTTAGAAATAATAAAAATATTTAATTACACTGACAGTTTTCACGGATTTTTAATTTTAACCTCGTTTCCCTAATTGCACATTGCCTGGGGTCAGTTAAACACTAATTGACCCTCCTATGTCCTAGACCTGTCGAACCCAAAACCCCTTTAGTTAATTAAATATCCTTAGTGATTTATGGCGCAGTGGTTTTTAGCTATTTTATAGTATATAAAGCCTTATCGGCGGCCTCCGGGTTTTAGATATAAATAATATCCAAATACAAACAAAAACTTAATTGAAAAAAAAAGTTTAAACCAACAGACGAGGGGAATGAGCTATTTCACAGTAAATAATGATGCTGTTCTTATTTTTTTTTTTTAGTAAACGAACATTTTTACCTCACCTGTGTGTAAGTATACTAAAAACAATAATAGTATCGGTATGGAGTAATGTAGGTAGAGAAAAATGTATTTTGTGTAAAATAAACGTTTCACTAAGGGTTCACAAATTTTTAATAGTTCATAGCTTAACTTAATGATCAAAAACTTACCCCAAACATTTTTGGTACTTTTTCATGACATAAAAGTTGTAAACAGTGACAATTTTGTTTTAATTATTACCCCGAAACAAGTTTTTTGTTTTTGTTATTAGCATAAAGTTGAGTTCAAACTTTAAATTTTATATAACATTTTTAATCAATGAATCGGAGAAAAAAAATTGCTTTATTTAAATCATTTATTCACGTAGTTCTGGTATACGACGGAATCACACTATATTTATATTTATAGTAATATTTAATTTATTTTTTGTTTATAATTATCTAAACCTACATGTATATTAAAAAACAAACAATACACAAAATATTTTTATATTTAAATGAGGATAATGATGTTTCTTGCTATACTTAAGCAGATATCTTTATATTCGCATAAATACTATTAACATTTATCAATTTCATGATATTTGATGATTTACGATTTTTAAATTGCTGATCTCCTTAAACTGATAACTAAATTACTGTAATTTAACGTATAGTTAAATTAATTTATAAGTGTTGTATTAATAAAGTTCTAAATATTTTATTTTTAAGAAACTGTAGTCAATCAAAACTACAGTAATTTTAATTGATAATAATAAAGGAATAATATATAGGTACCTATTTTATTATTTAAATGTAATTAGTTTATTGATTTATTCATTTAAAATTATCTATACAATATACAATACATTTTAAACAATAATGATTTATACATTTTCAATATCAGCCTATATATTAATTTCAACAGATATCATTAATGTCTCCCAGTTTTTCTTTCATACTATTTTTTAATTTTTTTTTTTATTTTGACTATTCTACCAAAAAAAACAATTTTTGAATAACCATTAACTATTAATTTTTTATAATAGGTATAGTTAATTTAGAGAAAATGTAATTCTGAAAATAAAGCTTACATTTAAAACAATTTAATAATACATTTACCAAATTATATATTTGTGTTTGTATTTATACTTTTATTTTATTTACATAATATGGTATTGTATTACTCAAAACATATTATAAATAATTGTAATAACACTATCCTAACTTTATTAAATTAAATCGTAGGTAACCTTTTACAGTAGGTTCTATGTAAAATACTTTTATGAGATGTTTTAGAATGAAAAAAGGACCAAAAAATGGTGGAAAAAATAAAAAATAATATTAAGTTTCGGAATTAAAAAAATGTAGTTAAACGATTCAAATTGAAATCTGATAATGTTATATGTTTTATAATATTTTTTGTGTCAAATGTTTTCTAATAAAATAAACACTATTTTTTGTGTTAAGGACAAACGACCATGTAAAGTTATTCTATTAAGTGATGCATTTCAAATGTATATAAACAATAATTACTAATGAAAAATAAATTGTACACTCAAAATCAGTATTATAGGTACCAACTGTTTCAGTCTCTGCATAGTGTTTATTTTGATTTACTGAGAATTATTTGGAAGTCACTTATCTTAAGTATTTGAGGTATTTTGCCAATTCCCTTAGACATAGATCAAATTACATTAATACAACAAATCTTATTTAATACAATTTTATACATAATTCGAATTACCTAATATATTATTTTTCAATTATGTATTCGAAATTATAGCTCAGTAATTATATATAAACACTCTTTGTATACTAACATACTAGTATAGAAAAAATATTTAATTAAATATTTTGTTTGTTCAATGTAATGTGGATTAATTATTTAAGACTCATATATTTAATAATCAGGAAGTGCTAAATCTATAATGAAGCTTATATCGCTTTGTATACTAAATATTAGTTAATAAATCAATTTTCATGTGTATACAGATTATGTTAAATGTAAGCTTAGCTTGAATTACAAATTTTTTCTCTATTAAAAAGTAAATAAGTTTATTTATGAACAACGGTTTTAGTTCCAAAAGTAGTTATTTAACTTAATTGCTTGTTTTTTATTGTTATATTTTTTTTTTTTGTAGGTCAGCTAAGGTTTATTTAGGAAGCGTAATTATGCTCAATCGTACCATTTTTCCGATTGTTTTTCAAGTAAAAACCGATTATTCTTATGCGCTTCATTATTTAAGACATATTATTCAAGTTTTATTGTTTCACCCTCTCCATCCATGTTTGATCATTCGGTGCGACATGCCTTGTGTTTTTTTCTCACGATGGCCCGGACGCGTCCGTGCTAGTTCGTGCTCCGTCGACGCGGCTGGGTCTATCAGCTGTGAGCTAATTTCGGATAGGGTGGACCGATCGATCAGCTATCCCCTGCGTGTGCTCAATGTTTATAAAATGCTGTTTCGCTCCCCGGCGCGATAGTAATTTTACGATTTGATTAAGCTTTTAATTATTATTATTCATAACTGCGAACTCCTTCTTGCCGTAAATTAGGAAAAATGCTCTGAATTAATAAGGCACCATCATGACTATTGACTTGTAACACTGACTGAAATACGGAGTTCAAGATGGTATACGAAAGGTACGTGTGTGTTTATATGACCAACTGCTATCACGACTGCAGTATTATTGTACTTCGGTCGCTTGTTGTTGGACCTAATTTTTCCGCTGTCATTTACACGTTTTATCAACAACGATGTCTCGGCCAGTTGATGTTCACATGAACCCGTCGGATTGTATATTGCCTGCATATTACGCTTATGATAACAATATTAGTAGCATTTGATTTTTGTTGGAAGATTAATCCATTCGACACGTTGCTATCGGTACAGTAGATATTGTCGTTCCGTAAAAAAATACATGTACGGTCGTAATTGTTCGCGTCGTGTAGATAAGCTTTAGCCAACGCGTCGTTCTTCAAAAGCCTGTGTTTTTGTCGTAATGTTTTTGATTATAGGATTAAAGGTATGCCAATATTGATTTTCGACGATAACCAGACGCCCATGTACATACATATAAATATATATTGGTGTATACAGTGGCTCGAGGTTAAACCACTGTATACATATGGAACACTTATACTGCGTTCGTTATAATTACAAAAAATATGTGTTCACACGAGGGGATGATCAATGAGAGCGGACATTAGTGTATACGTTACGGTTCGTTAGATAATTATTGTTTTTAATTTGACTTGACATTTGTCACACGTTTCGTTGCTAATTTCCTGACGCCACCCAAGTGAATTGGTGTATGTGACCTCTGATAACCGTAACTGATATAAATCGGATTAATATCATGGAAATCCTAAAAGACGAAAATTTGTAAATAAAAATAATATATCTAAAAATAATAATGACAATAATAAATAAAAGCAAAATTATAAATAATACGTGTAAGGGAATTCTAAATTGTTATAACAATATACAAAAATATATAAATATATATAAAACAAAAATTTTCACAATGATATATTATGATAAATAACTAATATTTATACTTAAATACATTTATATTTTTTTTCATTTACTTTTTAAGTATTCGATAATTACTAACCTGACTAAAAATCAATAGCTGAATTTATTATTTACATGCATACTTCGGACCCAACATGTTCTAAAGAAAATAAAATAGCTAACCTCTAAAATCAATGTAACAAACATTTCAAGATGACACGAAGACATGAAGTGTTATATTTTTAAGACTTATACATATACTATAGTGATTAAGCCCGTCAGATTAATACATAGTGTAGGAAGTAACCAATATATTTTAAGTAGTGGCGTTAGATTTGTAGAACCATGTGCTTTAACTAAAGTAATATTATGTAAGACAGAATTTTATAATTACTTTTTAAACTTCACCAACTTGACTGGTTTTACAGGTTTTATTTGAGTTTAATTTTTATACCTTTTTAAACAAAAAATTAACAAAACAAAGTTCTATTATTGTAATTATTATAGTGATTTTAATATTTTTCCCAGATAATTAATTTTTTCCTAGTATTAAAAATATTTATTGTTTGTTTATAACTTTCCACAGATATTTTTAAATTGCTATTTTTAATATTTTTAAAAATTGAAAGAAAAATCAACATAAAAGAAATTATATTATTTACTTTATATAAATATTTATTTATTTTATATATTTATTTATATAAAAGATAGTTTTATATGGCTTATTTTTAAAAAAAATATCATGAACTCAACTGGTTTAACCATTAGATTATATTGATTATTTCCTTTATATTTATATAATTAATATTCAAAAACAACCTTGTTGAATCCTTTGTAAAGTAGTTTAATCTTATTAATAAGAAAAGGAATACTAGTTAGGAATTCTAGTTTGAAACTTCTCTCCAATTAAAAATATATTTTTATTAAAAGTTTCTTAAAAAAAATATATATCTCTTGTTTAAAAATATATTTTTGAAAACTGCTTTTTTTTCATATCAACAACAGATATTTTT